CAGCGTCTTTTAAAGCTTATATCCCTGAATGGTAATTCTGGTTGCACACTGGAATAGCCCACTAGTGGGCTACCAGTATGCTTTCTCACCAAGAACTAGGAATCCCTTTGGCCTGATGGGCTCTCGCTCCCACAGAACATTTCTATGGAATGAAGATTCATGAGGGTGAATAACCACCACAGGTTCAGAGGAGGTCAAAGGACTGGGGCTGCCGCTTAGACTTTGGAACATCACCCAAAACCAGCACACAGATAGATGTCCGCAAGGGAGCAGGAGAGGAGCCTGCCTTGATAGGTGGGACGGATCCGAAGGGGAAGGGGGTGCTGTTTGGCTGGTGGCACCAGGTTTGGGTTCTCTTTGGAGTCCGCTCCCTCCCAAAGTTTTCAAATCACAATGGTGGTCAGGAGTGTGGGGGTTGGCAGGGCAGGGCGGGAGGAAAGAGCACAGGAGCATGGTTAGGTTTAGTCTCGACAAACCAGCACATACACAAAAGATGTTTTTGCTCAGAAAAATACAGTAAAATCATCATGCAAATATAACGCTTAAATCTCCTCTTTTCAGACTCTGTGTGTGTGTGTGTTTTGTTGGTCGTTGTTCTCACATCTCAAACTAGCCTAAGGGGAGGGGTTGATTAGAGAGGCGGAGTGAGCCTTATTCCCCCTTTGCCTCCCATCTCCACTCCTACCTTATTTTGACACCCCTCCTTTTGTGCAAACGTCACCAGAGACTAAGGTTTCTATTGTAGGGCATAGGAGGGGCATGGGCCACTCATACCCTCTGAACACCCATGCTCCTCCACCCACTCCAGAAGATCCTGGGCAGGACAAAGGGGCTGAGGGGCTTGCTCCGCCCCCTCTGCCATTACCACCAAAGTTCTTGTAACCGGTTCCTTCCCAAAGTGGGTGAGGGAGCTGAGGTCAACAGCAACGCACAACTCCTCGCCTCGTGCACATACTTGTACCCTGCCCTGCTTTGCAGCACAGATTATGGGATGGCAGGAGGGACTGGCAATAAACCTGGGGTGAAGCAGTGGAGGTGGGAAACAGAGCTTGTTTACACCTCCTTTCTATCCTCACCAACCTTTACCCTGATTCCGAGTCAGAAGGCAAGTTATCTCATTTCCCTAGGGCTGCCAAAATCTCCCCAGGACAGCATTAATTCGTCTTTTAATAGTTACCTAATACTGAGAATTTTGACTGATACCATTTTCCCCACTCACACGATGAGGGAAGTGACCAAAAGCTATGACATCTATGCAAATATTCAGCATAGGAGCCTTTACTAGATTTGGGCAACCCTAAGACACCAGGATGACCCAACCATCCTACCTTTCCATGATGGTTGGTGGATCTACAATGCACCGATATTCCATAATTCCCTAGAAAGCTCAGCACCCGTGCCCCCTCATTGTACTTGGAGAATGCTGATAATCTACCTCCTGCTAGCAAACTCCTGTCTCCCTCACAGTTTTAAGCACCACAAGTGTGTGTTGTCCAGAATTCCCCCCTACAGCCTTCTGAATTTCATAAACTGTGCCTAGTCCTGCCGATATATCTATCTAGGATCACTGCATGGCACAACAGCCCGATACAGGGAACATGCTGGCATGCAAAAGTATCTGTGCATGATGCCTGGGGCTTTGTTCATGAATCCACTAGGACCACATCCTTGGGATGCTCTTTCCCACTAGGAACACATTCCGGGGCTTTCTCACCCTGCATACCCACACTTCTCCCTTGAATGTTCATACACCTCACATGTTTTTCTTATGTTTCCTATGATTTCGCTCCCTGGGTTATATCCTCATGGTGAAAACGTCCCTAATTCTTAGTTCCCACAGGGTATATAACATTCCTGCGGGGCCAGTTCTCCTTAATAGCGCACTCCAGATATCTCTTCTAGAGCTGTATCAAGGATCGGCCCCTAGGATTTCTCTCATCCACAGGGAGGATACCGCTAAGACATCTCTTTCTCTCTCTCTGCCCAAATCCTAATGGGCATTGACTCCCAGGATTTGTCTTTGGAATCTCCCCCACTCACCCAAAAGGCTAGACTTTCATGATCTTTCCACTGGATCCACCAATAATATACCACTAGGCTCTCTCCACTTGTTTCCCTAGTAAACAAATCCCTGAGATGCAGCACACCAGTGTGGCACTACTACTTGCTAACAGCCCAAACTCCTTTGCTGTCCATGTGTTGGTCAAGTAAAGATACTACATTTTCATGGTTGCTGTGGGAAGCACATCATGTATCAGAAGTTGAGAGAGTTCTGCCCAAGACAACACAGCGAGCACTGCTGATCTATGTAGGGAGGCTCTCTCCATAGAAGCCCAGGGACCCCCCCCCAAAAAAAAAAGCTATGCTGAGCTGCCAGTCCCTTGGCCTGGTAATCAGATACCCCAGGGCAGACGGTTGTATTCACTGCCAGATTCATGGTTGTTATTCCTGCTGCTATCCCAGCAGGGAGCTGATTGAGAAGAGGAAATGCGAAGGGCCTCAACGACTTGGCTGCCTTTGCTGCAAGGTGTAGAGAGATTCCTCTGCTTGAAAAGCATCCCTCCACTTTCAGTGAGTGTACAACTGTTGGATGGGAGGAGCAGAGTTTCTTGCCGTGGGAAGCAGCCCTGACGTTGAACTCTGGAAAACACGGTCTAGAGCCATACTCACAAGGCAACAGCTCCAAGGTAAGACCTTGGGGAGCCAGTCACTCCTGAGACCACCCATGCTTGTGCTTCTGTTGGTGTGTTCTAAAACAAGCAGGGAAGGGGCTGGGGGGCAAACAAGTATGTATTTGGGTGGGGTTTTTTTGCTGCAAGACAGATGTGAAGAAGCAGCCTGGTGGCAAGCTGTAAGAGGACATGCTTTAAGCAGACCCAATGGCAGCGAGTGGGAGGGAATGGCAATATTTCAGAGGGTGGCTCTCCTTGTTTTGCTTGGCCCAAGAATACACCTTCCCAGTAAAACTGAGGAGGCCTCTTCCAGCATTCTCTCTCTGAAACAGAGTCCCAAGAATGGCTTTGGTATCTAGATTAGCAAATTACCCAGAACGTGGTACCTTGCCTGTGTGCCACCCCGGATGCCCCTTCCTTATTCCCTTGTGTCAAATGTCCCCTATGCTCTAGCCACATCAGAGCACCTAGATCTATCTCTATAATCTGACAAGCCTCTGCCTCCTTTCTTACCTCCAACACTATCTTTAAACGGAGGTTCCCTGCTGCTTCCAGGAGGGAAAAAACCTGGGGCATAAGGAAGCGTGGTGGCCAAGGCTGGGTTGTCAGCCACCACAGGAAGAGATGGCTGCGGGGGTCAGGAGATGGCAGCAAGGGAGCAGCTCAGCAGGTAAGATTGGCCAGTGCATCAATGTCATCAAGCAATCTCCCCAGTGCCGTTTTGCTAGTCCATAAGCGAGTTCACTGCACAGTGCCTTCCCCCATCTTGACCACCTGGCCCCAAGGCCTTCTTGAAGTCTACGCCTTCTCTCTGTTTTATTTTCTGAGGGCCATCCCATAATGCCACACCATAAGACTACCCTGAATTGCATAACACCAGCCCTCACAGTGTTACCTCCATATTGTTCCCCTGTCTCAGTCTGTATTCTGGCAACCGGTTGTGGAAAAAAAAGTTGAGAGCCCTCTGTTGGGAGCCTCATCATGGATATTGTCCTTTTTTCAGTACATTTGGTAAATTGGGAACCTGTCTGCCAATCCATCATGACATTACATTTCACAGGGTGAGCAGCTCCCTCAGTCTTGGTGCTGTGTCTGGGGGGGTCAGGATTCCTTGAGATCTCAGAGAGGTTGTTGATATGATACTGTCCTCCTCTCCTATCCCACATGTGGGCTATTTGTCTTTTCCTATGCCATGCGGCACATTCCCCCACTCTTCTTGGAAGACAACTGGAACGCTCTACTGAAGTGCGGGGAAACTCCTTGAGAGCTAACTCTCTCTCTTCCTAACAAATGGGGAGAGGGCATGGAGGAGACAGGAGAACCCCCCCCCATTGTAAAAACACTCAATTTCCCATCCCTTACCCTTTCCCACAGTGGAGGAAGCTAGTAGGTCTTACAGCGATTAACACCAGTCACCTGTCACAGGCATGGTGAGAATATACCAAGAAAAATCTGTTTTCACTCTTGTTTCACACTTGTGCAAATCTTAACAAAGATGTGGAGTGGTGGGAGCGTGTCAACAGGCTTAGAAGATCCTGAGCACTGAGAGGACATTCAGTTGTGTTACTCCTCATCTCATCTTGACTTTGGGACTCTCAGTGTTACCCCAGCAACATTGAGGATGCTTTCCCATGAATGATTCTCTCACTGCTGGGGTCAAATTTCAATGACTCAGCCATGTGAACAAGGCATATTGTACAAGTCTTTCCCACAGAGACTGCATACCTCTCCCGGGGGGGGGGGGGGGACAGTTTTATAATTGGAACCCACATGATCAACCCTGCCCGTGTAGGTCAGTCATTTAAGCGTTACCCCAGCAATGTGAGACTCATTCATGGAAAAGCAGCCCTCCCACAGCTAGAGTGACATTTAAAAGGCCCTTGAAAAATGCAGGAAAGGTAAGGATGAGGAAGTGACATCAGCACCCCTTACTGTTGTCAGGGGAACAAGCAAAACCGCCGCCCCCCTTTCTGAAACAAAATAAGAACAGGAACAGAAAAGTGATGGTTAGCGTCTGAGTCTATGCCTGGTTAGCATCCTTCCCCTCCCACCTCTGCGACCTACAAGCCCAATACCTCTCCCAACAGTTGTTCCTCTTTACCACAGTATAAAAACAAGTGTCTCCTCCCCACCATCTGAAGGAGTAACAATGGTCCCCGTAACACAGTAGAGACAATTCATTTCACTTGGGGGGGGGGTGTGTTTCTGTTCTTTTTTGTAAACTTTAAGAAATGGTTTTTTCAGTTTCGTCAGGTTTGTTTGTTTTTCACAGTCAGGTGGGTTAATTTTTGTGGTTGTTTCCCGCCCCCCTTCCCTTTAAAGACAGAGTCACAACTTCTGTTGAGCAGAGACTCCTTTCCAGTAATCTAAGATATCGTGCAGATCCTCATCCTTGGCAAACTGGACTTTCTTTCGCAGGGCGTGGCCGGCCGCCATGTAAACCTCCTCCCGGTGGTGCTTCTTGTAAGGCCGGAAACGCTCCCAGATCTTATGGGTGCTCTCTGAGGAGTACTCTGGGCTGGAGGAATAGCCCGAGAAGTAATGTCTGGGTGAGAGCTGAGAATATGTGGAGTCCCGCTTGGAACGGGAGAGTGGCTTAAGAAAGGACACCCGCTGGCTTAAGGTGTCGCCACTCTCCT